AAGGTGGACAGAAGGGAGCAGGACTGCCCTGCTCTGGTTCCCTGCAATCCTGACCCTCAGGAGGGAGGATTCCTTAGGTGCTATGGTGTCCAACGAACTGGAGAGGTGACCTGTGTCCATGATGAGGATCTAGGGGCCCTACCTGAGGCCTGAGCCCTGAGCCTAGCCCACTGTGTACGGCCTGTAGGATTGGAGGTGGCAAGGACCGGGGTAAATGGCAGGAACCTTAGTGGCTGGGCGGGTGGGTGATTTTCTTCACTCTTTTCCTGCCTGTGCCAGGGTGATGATTCTTTGTTGCAGAAATGTTATCCTTAGATTCTATTGGTAAAGAAATTGAGTCTCTGAGGGGCTGGTCACATCAGAGTCAAGGTGTCTGCCTGTGCTTAATCCCTAGTCTGGCTATATATGGCATGGTTGGAATTCTAGGTCCTAGGTCCCAGCTGAGTGTGTGGGGACAGCCTTATCCCTATCCTATGTATCCTGGAGTTTCAGGAGCCCACACAGCTTATTGGAGGTAGAATCCAATGGATTAGGACCCAGGAGTTTTGAACACTTCAGGAACACTGAGCAAGCTGCTTAGCTGGAGGTAAAGATAGCTTCACAAGCTGGTCCCATCATGAATGCCCCAAGGGCAACACTGAGATAGATGCTCATGGGTATCCACCATCCATTGGGGATCAGCAGGATCTGGTCCTATACACACTGGCCCTGGAAAGCTAGACCTTGAAGGCTGGGTGCTGTGGCTGTAGATGGGTGGTTGGTAAGCCCAGCATTCATGAATACAGAATTTAGTGGCTGGGCCTGTCTTGCCGTAGGATGGAAATGATGGAACCAGAACTGGGTAGGATCTCTGGCCTCGCTGATAGATTGGCCACTGTGCCTGTGCTATGGTGGCAGCTAGAAGCTAGTGCAGCTCTCAGGTACGTGTATAGCTTTGCCATGGATATATAAATGGTGGTCCTGCCCAGAGTGGCTTCAGCTTACAATGGCTAAAGTGATATCCCCAGCCCCAGGAGGCTTCAAGTAACTGTTCCTAAGCTGCACACATCTCTAGTGGGAAGGGGCTTTCTGACATGATTTTGGGGTTGGCTAGGGACAGTCTCTTAGCCCAGCCTTCAAAGGTATATTTTATGGATGGTTTCCTCTTCCCAGGCTATCTATCAGTTTGGATTTCAAAGTCCTACAGGTTTCCAGTTCTGTCTTAGGTCTTGCCTCCGCTCTATGTTCTACACACTAACATTTTGGGCCCACACTGATGATTGTGGCTTATGGGAGAGGGGAGACATCAGAGGACATCTGCCCAGGTCCAAAGTCAAGCTCATTTCACTCACTAATTATCCCACGTGACACGTGGGTGGATTCCTAGGCAGGGTGCCAGGGACATAAGGGTCCCCTGGCCACTTCTCTTGTTGGTTGGGGTGTCACCACCTTCCCAAGTTGAGACACAGGTGCTCACCCTGTACTTCTCTAAGTGTGGGTTTCTCTCCTAGAGAAGTTTCAATCCCTGCCCACAATATCTGGGTTACATGTGTCTGTGGGCAGTGGATGGGAAGTCAAGAGAGCCCAGGAGTCTGGGGAATGTTGTCAGAGGTGGGAAGGTGGGAGCAGATGGAAATGCCCAGGAGGAGAGGCAAGTATAGCACACAAGGTGCACACAAGACAGGAAGATGAAGGTCTGAAGCCTCTGTTCCTTCCAACAGCTGGATGGAGGTGCGGGCAAGGGAGGCACCTGTCAATTCTCAAACCAGAAGCTGCTTGGGCATGTGTGAATGTGAGTCTGCACTCATGAGGCTTCAGGAGGGTGTGGGTTCAGCAGCAAGGCAGACAAACAAGCAAATAGAACAAAACAAAACAAAACAAAAACACCTTAAGTTAAATTGGATTTCAGATAACTTGTTTTTCCTTAGTATAAGTATACCCAGGCAATATTGCAATATTATTATACTTAAAAAAAAGCACTCAAACAAACAACATCTCCCTCCCCCCCCCCCAAAAAAAAACCCACTCTTTATTTTGTTTGGTTTTGCTTTGTTTTGAGATGAGGTCTTGCTATATAGACCAGGCTGGCCTGGGACTTGCTATGTACATCGGGCTGGCCACAAATTCACCACAACCCTCTGAGTTGTTGGCATGTGCTACCATGCCCATCCCAAAGCCTGTTTGTCTATCTGAAATTCCTACATGATTGGGTGGCCTGTATTTTGCCTGGCAGCTCTTTGACTGGCCTGTTGGAGCAGTATGGTGAGACTCTCCGGAGGAGGTAGGAGGAATGTGTTTGAGAAGTAGAGGGATTACAGGTTCGTGGGGTGGGGGAAGCAGGAGTCAGACTTGGCATTGTGGTAACTTCAGGGATGGTAACTTCAGTGTGGGGATGGAGGTGGGACCACTGAGGATGTGCACTGGAATTGGTAATGGGCTAAGGAAGACATGGGCCCCTTAGACCATGGGGTATGAGAACAGCATCCCAACCTGCTGGATAGCTAGAGAAACAGCTTCATTTGGCTCAAGTATCTAGAAGGACAAAGTCCTCTGCTTCTGGGACCATGGAACCACAGGGTCCTTGCCACTGTGGAGTCCCTCTATCAACTCCTGCATTGTTCGTAGGGACATGGATGGAACTTGTTTCCCACGTGTGCAGAGCCAAGGGACATATCATGAATTACAAAGCCAGCGTCCTCAGCATCTTCCCGATGCTGTCTCCTTAGCCAGTGCATTGGTCTGCTCAACCTCTCCCTTGGCCTTTACTCCACCTGGTTTGGGAAAGCACAACTTGCTCCAACCTGCCTGGCAGCCCCCACTTCCCCAGGTCTTCCTCCCTTCTTCCTACAGTCCACACCCTCTGGAAAGAAGCCCTGACTGCCACTAAACTTCAGTCCTCAGGCATCTTATTTATTGAGAGTACATGAAATCCTAGGAACCCAGGACCCAGCACCAGTGAGACAGCCCACAGCATCCATTCCCCTTAATCTGCTCCTGTCCTTGGTGGTGTAATTTTAGTGTGTGTAGCTCAATTAGTAGATAGCTCTCCTAGCACATGCTCCTAGCACATGTGAAACCCTGAGTTCAGTTCCTGGTATCACATAACCAGGCATGGAGGTGTCTGCCAGTAATTATAGAATTTTGTAAAATTTTGTAAAACCAACATTTTAAAATTATTTATTTCAAAAAGGTAAAACAATTGCAGAGACCCGGGTTTGATTCCCAGCACCCATACAATGGCTCACAACTGCTTGTAACTCCTATTTTAGAGGGTCTGATGGCCTCTTTTGACTTCCACAGGGACTAGGCATATACATGGCAAACAGATGTAAAGGCAAAACATTTGTACAATAAAAAGATACAAAATGGGAGCCAGATAGTGGTGGCAGACATCTTTAATCCTAGCACTTTGGAGGCAGAGACGGTCAGTTTTCTGAGTTCAAGGCCAGCCTGGTCTATATAGAACGTTCAAGGACAGCTAGGGCTACTGGAGAAACCCTGTCTCAAAAAACCCAACCCAAACAAACAAACAAACAAACAAACAAAATGGGGCAGGGGTGGTGGTGGCACATGCCTTTAATCCCAGAACTCTGGAGGCAAAGGTAAATGGATCTCTCTGAATTTGAGGCCAACCTGGTCTATATAGTGAGTTCTAGCTAGCCAGAGTTACATAGTGAAACCCTGTCTCAAAAAAAGAAAAAAAGGCCAGGCGGTGGTGGCACACGCCTTTAATCCCAGCACTTGGGAGGCAGAGGCAGGCAGATCTCTGAGTTCAAGGCCAGCCTGGTCTACAGAGTGAGTTCCAGGACAGCCAGGGCTACACAGAGAAACCCTGTCTTGAAAAACCAAAAAGAAAAAAGAAAAAAAGAAAAAAAATGGGTTAGAGAGATGGCTCAGTGGTCAAGAGCACTCTCTGGTCTTTCAAAGGACCAAGTTCAATTTCCAGTATCACATAGCAGCTTGAAACTGTCTGCAACTCCAGTTTCAGAGGATCTGACACCCTCACACACACACAGCAACAATGCACAGAAAGAAATTTTAAAAATCAAAGAAAGAAAAAAAAGGAAGAAAGGAAGGAAGCAAGAAAAAAAGCAAGATGGAGAAATGGCTCAGTGGTTAAGAGCTGCTCTTCCAGAGGTTCAATTCCCAGCACCCACATGGCAGCTCATAACTGTCTGTAATTCCAGTTCTAGGTGATCCAACACCCTCACACAGACATATATGTAGGCAAAACACCAATTCGCATAAAATAAAAAGTAGATTTAAGAATATTTCTTTAGGCTGGGCAGTGGTGGCACACGCCTTTAATCCCAGCACTTGGGAGGCAGAGGCAGGTGGATTTCTGAGTTCCAGGCCAGCCTGGTCTACAGAGTGAGTTCCAGGACAGTCAGGGCTATACAGAAAAACTCTATCTCATTAAAAAAAAATATTTCTTTAGGTCTGGTGAGATGGCTCAGCGGTTAAGAGCACTGGTCATGAATTCAAATCCCAGCAACCATATGGTGTGTCATAGCCACCTGTAATGAGATCTGATGCCCTCTTATGGGGTGTCTGAAGATAGCTACAGTGCACTTACATATAATAATAAATAAATAAAAAACCTTTGGGTTGAAGTGAGTGGGGCTGGGGCAAGAGGGAGAAGGGAAGGGGGGAAAAGGATATTTCTTTAAAAAAATTAAAAAGCAGAGCTTTACTTGTTAATTGCTTTTAATTTTATAAAAAAAAAGTATATCATGCTAGGGATTGGAGAGATAGCTCGGTGGTTAGGAGCACCAGACAGTCTTCCAGAGAACCCTGGTTCAATTCGCAGCATCCTCATGGTGGCTCACAAAACTCTGTAACTCCTCTGGTCTTGCTGTGTCACCTATCCAGTTCCATCAGATCCGATGCTCTCTTCTGGTCTCCATGGGCAACTGACTGACAAATGGTGTACAGACTGACTTACGTGCAGGCAAAACACTTATCCTATGCACTTAAAAAAAAGGCTATCTGCTCTCTTTGGCCTCGCCGGTAGAAGCAAGATGACGAAAGGAACGTCATCCTTCGGAAAGCGTCGCAATAAGACACACACGCTGTGCCGCCGCTGTGGCTCCAAGGCCTACCACCTTCAGAAGTCGACTTGTGGCAAATGCGGCTACCCTGCCAAGCGCAAGAGAAAGTATAACTGGAGTGCCAAGGCTAAGAGACGAAACACTACCGGGACTGGTCGGATGAGGCACCTAAAGATTGTCTATCGCAGATTCAGACATGGATTCCGTGAAGGGACGACACCTAAACCCAAGAGGGCAGCTGTTGCAGCATCCAGTTCATCTTGAGGATTTCAATCAGTCATAAAATAAATGTTCTGGTTTCAAAAAAAAAAAAAAAAAAGGCTATCATGCTAGATGTAGATTCCCAAGGTCTGTTTTCTTAAAAACAAGCTCATTTGTCATTCTAGTGTCCCCCGGCCATACACTACTTTCCCGTGACCACGTCTTAGGAGACACTTGTGTCCTTTGCTATTCTGGTCACTCAAGATCACTGTAGCTTTTAGTCACCGTCTTCTTAGCTTCCACTTAAGATATTTTTCCCCCTTGTCCTGGTGATATAACTCCTGGACACTCTTCACATGGCCCTCTGACCTCTGAGGACTTTGGGTGGGATAAACTACTGGCTACAGACAGGAAGGCCATCTCTCACACTCCTGCTGTGCTCAACTCTCAGGGTTATCAGCGGCAGTTACAACCTTCCTCACATGGATTGAGGTGGTACCGGTGCCCACTGTTTCTCACACTCACAGCTTTCTCTAGGCACTGAATCCAGACCACAGTGGGGAAAGATGTAACCCTGTCTCCCAGAAGATCTGGGATCTGCACTGTGAACAAGTCAGAAAAATACCAAGTCCTTCAGATTCCACTTGTGGCTATTAGCGATGGGGATTATGCCCTGTCCTGAGTTTCTTGTCTGTGTACTCAAGAAAAGCCAGGCCACAAGGTCTAGTACTGCCCAGTGCAAATGTTCCCCAAGTTTGTGTGAAACATCAATACCAAGTGTATCCCTGATGTCTCTCACTGATGTCCCCAGACTTTGGTATATTCAGACCCCTCTTTTTTAAAAAAAATGAATTATTGATTTGTTTTATATATATGATTATGCTGCCACTGTCTTCAGACACACTAGAAGAGGGCATCAGATCCCATTACAGATGGTTATGAGCTGGGAATTGAACTCAGGATCTCTGGAAGAGCAGTCGTCTTTCCAGGCCCCTCTTCAGACTCTTAAATGTGTGTAGCTGGTGTCATCTAGCCCTCTAGCTATTGGTAGCACTGACCAATGTCACCTTGATTGTTCTGAGTTTGCCATTTCCTGCCCATCTAGCGTTCACTGGAACTCCTTTCAGGGACATTCCCATGAGCCACTGTGTCTGCCATGGAGAAACAGGGCTGTCTACCTTTCCTTCAAGCCCAGAAAGAACTCCTTGGTGTTTCCACACAGACTGTACTCTGGTTGTGTTGCATGCGTCACTTTCTGCCACCTTGTGACATCCTCAGCCTGACCTCCACCAGGGGCTGCCTATTCGCCAACTAATTTCTGGCAGACCAGTCCCCAGCTTGGCCCAGGATAGGAAGTCTCACTCCCTTAAGTGCTCATGTGTCTGCTCAGAGAATGTAAGAAAAAGCTTTACATATTTGTCTCCCCATCTTTCTCTGTTCCCCAGGGTGATGAGAGCCTCCAGATCTTGGTGGGGTCTGAAGGGGACAATTTGCCATTGATGGAAATGGGTACTTGTCAGGTAGGTCTGGGTTCCACCTACTCACTGTATCCTGTGGTTGGTTATGGCCCTAAACTGCCTTCCATATCCCGTGTACTATGCTGGGTTCTTGCCCCACACCCTCTCCCATCCTGTGTCTTGTGTTGGGATCCAGATTTACATTTCCTTCTATCTGTGTTTCTATCCTATACCTTATTCCTCCAGCCTGAGGCCTCTGATCAATGGGACTGTGTCCTGGTGGCTGATCTCCAGACCCAGAAAATCCCGAAGCATGTTAAGAGGCAACAGAAGTTCCTAGAAAATCTCGAGAGTGGGGGCTTCCACTTCAAGGTGGGCTGGTTTGCTTCAGGGGCCAAGTCACGGGCCAGATAGTCATGAGGAATGCCATGTCATATACCCCAGAAACGGGACAGGAGAGTGGCTGTGGATGAGTTCTTCTCCTGTGGCTCTCAAGGTGAGAAGAGATCAGAAGAAGGTGTTCTTTGGGATCCGAGCTGACAGTGGTGTCATAGACATGTACCGGACACTCCTCATGAAGCCTGAAGATCCTAGCTCCAAGGCCAAGCAGAGCTTCAACATAGCTACCACAAGGTGAGGATGTATCCACAGGCCAGGAGGACCCTTGCCCTGTGTCCAGGCAGGACAAGGGCCACATCCCATCTCAGGTAGGACAACAGTTCCACACAGTCTTAGTATGGATGTCACAGGGGATCAGACAAAGTTCTGGTGGGAGCATGGCAGCATCCAGGCAGAGGAGCTGAGAGTTCCATCTCTTGTTCCTAAGGCAGCTTGTAGAAGACTGGCTTCCAGGCAGCTAGGACGAGGGTCTTAAAGCCTATGTCCACAGTGACACACCTACTCCAACAAGGCCACACCTCCTAATAGTGCCACTCCCTGGGCCAAGCATATACAAACCATCACAGACACCTTGATGGGGGCAAAACAAGACAGACTTGTGGTGGGATTTCCCTGTGTTCACAAGGTACTCAGGGACTTAAGCTGCATCTGAATATGGTTGCACAAATGCCTGTGTGACCTCAGGCAAGTTACTCTAACCTCTGAGCATCCGCTTCCACATAAGGAGAACAACTCATAGCCATGTAAGCAGATTTGTCCACATGAACACTCAGCATGTGCAGAGGAGTGTGATCAGAGGAGGGGACTCTTACCCCTGCATCTGGGTGAGATATGGAAGCCTGAGAGTAAAAACTGAACCCCATTCTGGAAGTCAGGCAAGTTTGACCTGAGCAGGTTTTCAGGGTTTGGACTCTGGATTCTGGTCAGTAGTGGTGGGGCACCTCTTCTAGAACAGAGAGGGCCTGGATGTGTGGAGAACAGGGTCTTTAGGAACAGAGTCCACTAGGCTATCATGGGACTACCCTGATCCTTAGATTCTTGGGTTTCAGAATCCGAATTGTCAGCTTTGTCGTGAACAGCAAGATGAGACCTGGTGGTGAGCTCAGATGGGCAGGTGGCTGAGGAGGGTGCTGCTGTGGGCTGGATTCTCCCACCCTCCATTGCTCTCTGATTGAGGCTCCCTGTAACCCTAGAAACCTTTGAGGATCTGGTGAAGGATGGGGTTTTTGAGACCATGTTTCTTCTGCACAAGGTGAGGGGTAGACCAGCTATCTCAGAATGGGCCTGAGGGTAGGGATCTGAGGGAGGAAGCCAAGCTCTCATTGTCTGTTTCCGGGACCCAGGGGGAAAAAAACCTGAAAAGAAGTTGGGCTCGATGGAGGAACATGTTCCAGTTACAACCAATTGATGAAATCAGGTAATACCATACCAAGCAGCTCACTTGTGGGTCACTGACACATCTGTGTTCAAAACAGATAACCTGTGGCCCAACCAATCCCATCCTGACTGACAGATACAGTCCCCACTTATACTGATGCTAGCAGTACCCTCCCCCACCTTCTCCTCATCCGCCCACACCCTACCAGGTACTGAGGCCAATGGGGAGGGTGGCCTTGATGGGGAAGCTTTCCCACAGGGAATACTTTGGCGAGAAGGTGGCTCTGTACTTCACCTGGCTTGGCTGGTACACCTACATGCTGGTGCCTGCTGCTGTGGTGGGCCTCATCGTCTTTCTGAGTGGCTTTGCCCTGTTTGATTCCAGCCAAATCAGGTGGGTTGGGGCCTGAGGCCTGCAATCTCGTTTTGGGCCAGGTATGGAGGTGGGAGCCTGGATGTGTTCTGCATCTCAAAATCACTGGTTTTGTCTCTACACTCACAGCAAAGAGATCTGTGATGCCCATGACATCTTCATGTGCCCTCTTGGCGACCAGAGTCGCAGATACCAGCCGCTCTCAGACATGTGCACTTTCTCGAAGGTTAGATGCTACTGGAGTCTTTCCTGGGCTTATGCAAGGGTGGGCACAGGATATCTGTCTAGAAGTAGGGAAGAGAAGGCACCTGGCTTCCCCGAAGAGCGAAGAGCTAGGTTCTCCCTCACCAAGAGACATGGTAGGAAACTTAGCATGAAGCCCTTCTGTTCCTCTCCCCAGCTCACTCACCTCTTTGACAACGAGGGGACTGTGCTATTTGCCATCTTCATGGCTCTTTGGGGTGAGTTGCTGCTGGGCATCCCTGGAGGACTCTAGGACTCCAGCCAACCTGAGCTCTTCAGCCACCCTGGCTCACCCCAGGTATCCTGTGACATTTCTCTGTGCTCACTGCAGCTACAGTCTTCCTGGAGATCTGGAAGCGAAAGCGTGCCCGTGAGGTCCAGAGATGGGACCTATATGAATGGGATGAGGAAGAGGTAAGGCAGGGACAGCAGCATCAAGGTTGCTTGCTTCCAGTGTCTCATGTGGCCCATACCTGAATCCTTGTGTCTGAGGCATGTCTGGTGACCTCCCTAGGAAGAGATGGCCCTTGAGCTCATCAACTCTCCGTGCTATGAGTTGAAAAAGCATCACCATTCCTACCTGAACAGCACCATCATCCTGATCCTGACCCTGTTCATGGTACTTCTGGGAGCTGTGGTAAGGGCTAGAGACCCAGCTATTCCTACCCTTCATGCCCAACCCCAACCCTTCGCAGATCTGTATAATGATTGGCATGGCTCATGTGCTGGTTGTCTACCGTGTGGTGGCTGGTGCCCTCTTTAGCAGCTTCCTGGGTCAGCAGGCAATCACCGCTGTGGTGGTGACCGGGGCAGTGGTACATTATGTAATCATTGTCATCATGACTAAGGTAAGGATCAGGCAGGGGAGGCCCTGGGGGGTTCCACTGAAGTCCTAGGTAAGTCCTGCTTGATTCCTTCTTCCCTCAGGTCAACAAACGTGTAGCTCTGAAGCTTTGTAAATTTGGTGAGAAGAGGCTAGCCTCTCTCTGGGAACTGGGAGGACTCAGGGCTGAAAGTCACAGGGCTGTGATCAAAAATGGGGTGGGGGCTTCCCGCTCTTCTGGGGCCCCTCACTTGAGAGTGTAGGTCATGCTGTCTCATTGGTCTAAGGACAGACAGAATGGCCATGTCTCATTCCAGAGGAACCCAGGACCTTTTCAGAGCAAGAGAGCAAGTTCACCGTCAAGTTTTTCATTCTGCAGTTCTTCACTCACTTCTCCTCTCTCATCTACATTGCCTTCATTCTGGGCAGGTATGCTCCCCGGCCCCGGAAGCCTGCTCTCCACCCCAGCTCCTGGCTCCTTCAGGCTCGGTTCTCCTGTCTTGTTTCTTGCCTTTAAAATTGCCCAGATTCGGGGCTGGAAAGCTGGCTGCTCTTCCAAAGGTCCCGAGTTCAATTCTCAGCACCCACATAGTGGCTCATGACAATCTAGAAAGGGATCTGACACCCTCTTCTGGCATGCAGGTATACATGCATCAGAGCACTTAGACATAACTTGAATGAATGAATGAATGAATGAATGAATGCAGCAGAGCACGCATATATTGAATAACAAAACAAAACAAACAAACAAACTTTAAAAAAAAGTGGCCAGATCTTAGCCAGGCATGGTGGCACACATCTTTAACTCAGCACTGCGCCTGCAGAAGCAAGGAGATCTCTATGAGTTTGAGGTCAGCCTGGTCTACATGTTGAGCTCCATCCAGGATAGCCAAGACTAAATGGAGAGACTCTGTCTCAAAAAAGACTAAATAAGTAAATAAATATAAAAAATAAATAAATAAATAAAAGTGGCCAGATCTCAAGGCTGGAGATATAGCTCAGGTGAAGAGCATGAAGCCCTGTTTGACCTCTTGAATGTGGTGACCTCTTGATATGATGGCATTCTCTTGTAATTTCAGAAGTCAGTAATTGCGGTGAGTCAGCTTGGGCTACATAAAACCCTGCATTAAAAAGAAAAAGTGCACCAAAACAAAAACAAAAAACAAAAACGCCGGGCGGTGGTGGCGCACGCCTTTAATCCCAGCACTTTGGGAGGCAGAGGCAGGCGGATTTCTGAGTTCGAGAGGCTAGCCTGGTCTACAGAGTGAGTTCCAGGATAGCCAGGGCTACACAGAGAAACCCTGTCTTGAAAAACCAAACCAAAAAAAACACAAAAAACAAAAAGAAAAAGTGCCCCTTTCAGCAGTACATGTAGTAAAATTGGAACAATACACACAAGATTAGCATGGCCCTACTGTAAGCACGACAGGCAAATTTGTGAAGTGTTCCATATTTTTTAAAAATGTGGTCAGAACAGTTCTTTTAACTACTACGTAGGTAGCTTTGCTATGTCAGCGATCAGCTTTTCCATGGAAGCATCCCAGTGGCTCTGCCCAGTGTACCATACTCTCCTCACTTGTTATGTGGTACTGTGCTTCGTGAAGAAGCTACATGAATATCCCCTCGCCTCCCCTATTTAAATGAACCATTTTTGGTGCAGTCAATGTATACCTTTTTGTTTTCTCCATAGAAAATGATTGCTGCTTTATGTATGTGCTTAAATGTTATAAGGCATTTAAACATTACCAGTTAGTCACAAACTTCCTACCAACTCCGCCTCCCCACCAAACCTCCCAGCATGTTCAGAGACATGAGGGACCCTTAACCGTCATGCCCTTGGAAGTCATTCCTGGCAATTTGTCCAAGCTCCTTGGAAGACTAGGATGGCCCATTAAGCTGTGCACACAGCATTCAACTGCTTATCTAGTCCCAACGTTTTCTACATTTCTCCAAAAACAACATAGTCAGGTCTTTTTTAAGCAGTAGCCCACCGCCTGGTACCACCTTCTGTCTTAGTTACTCTTCTATTGATAAAACAGTGTAGCCATGGCAACTTATAAACGGAAGTGCTTAATTTGGCCCACGGTTTAGAGAATTAGAATCCATGATGGTGGGGGGAAGGAATAGTTGAGAGCTCACATCTGGACTTACAACCATGAGGCAGAGAGAGGCGGGGGCGGGGGAGTGAAAAGGAGCCTAACCCCAGTGATTTATCTCCTTCAACAAAGCCATACCTTCTAATCCTTCCCAAACATTCCACTAACTAAGGATGCAGTATTCAAATATATGAGCCTACTGGGGGTGGGAAGGCATTCTCATTCAAACCACCACACTATTACTCTACCTTCCATGGTCACAAGATCAAGGTGCTGTCCGTCTTCCTCACAGACCTTGATTTTCTCCCTAGGATCAATGGTCACCCTGGGAAGACCACTCGCCTGGCTGGCCTGTGGAAGCTAGAGGAGGTCAGTCTGTCCTGAGGCCTCACTGCCCATTTCTTAATTCCCCTCCTCCCACAAGCTCCATCCCTGACCTTCGCGTTGGCCCCACAGTGCCATCTCAGTGGCTGCATGATGGACCTGTTCATTCAGATGGCTATCATCATGGGCCTGAAGCAAACCCTGAGCAACCTTGCTGAGTACCTGAGCCCGTGAGGACCGCTTTCCATCCCACTCCAGCCTCCCACAGTGCCTGTCCCCGGTGCCCCACAGTCTTTCTGTATGTTCCACACATTCTTGGTGCCCACAGGTTGTTGGCCCACAAATACCGCTTAATGCGGGCTTACAAACATGGTCACATGTCCGAAGACCCAGAACTGAAGGAGTGGCAGCGTAACTACCGCAAGAATCCAGTCAACACCTTCAGCCTGTTTGATGAGTTCATGGAGATGAGTGTGTGGTGCTCCAGTGGGTTGGGCAGATGGGGTGGGTGTGCAGGGTGAAGGGTGGGTGGCTGTACTGGACATGGTGACATTTTCACCCTGCAGTGATCCAGTACGGCTTCACCACCATCTTTGTGGCTGCCTTCCCACTTGCACCCCTGTTGGCACTCTTCAGCAACCTTGTGGAGATCCGCCTGGATGCCATCAAGATGGTCAGACTACAGCGGCGCCTGGTTCCTCGAAAGGCTAAGGACATAGGTCAGAGTGCACACACATTGTACTATGGAAGAGAGCAGCCAGAGCACTGGGAAGAGCAACTTCCAATCCTGGGCTTTCACCAGCCCATGCCAGGCCACCTTGAAGCAACTTGTAATAACTGCAGCCCCTCCCTTTACTCTAGAGACATTAGGTTTTTCAGATACAGTAACTAAGCCTCATGGGCTCAACCCTTAGAAAAAGGCAAGCTAGAGTGCATTTAGGTACTGACAAGGTTCTCCCATGAGCCTCCAGCATGTGGCTGGAGAGCTTGCAGCCTTCAAGGGGACCTTATGGAAGAGCAGGAATCTGATCACATGGGAGAGAAGGTATGGCAGATCAGAGATCCCAAGGCCTCAGTCATCCTGACTTTCCATAGTGAGAATGTCAGATGGTTTAGTTGCTAGATGTGGAGAGAAGCATCAGGGAGAGCCTCAGACTTGGGGCTGGGTTCAGGAATTCTCACTTGGGTGGGGTCCAGGAGATAGACAACCTGTTGAAAAGTTCCAGGAAGAAGATGGGGATGGGGAAGTCTGAGTCCTTCACTACTCATGTCTGGGAGAAAAAGTTGTAACTATACTATGTCTCTCTTAGCTGGGGATTTCTGAGCAGATAACTTAGCTCCCACAGCTGCACTGGGGCCATGAACAGAGAGAACACAAGGCTCCTTGGCCAATCAGGCTCCAAGCTTTTAGGCCAGGAACTACCAATGATCAGGATTGGCTGCTTCATTCCACTGCTGTCATTCAGGGACCTGGCTGCAGGTACTGGAGACCATTGGAGTGCTGGCAGTCATTGCCAATGGAATGGTCATCGCCTTCACCTCTGAGTTCATCCCCAGAGTGGTCTACAAGTACCACTATGGCCCATGCCGAAAGAATCAGACCTTCACAGAGGAGTAAGGCATTGAACTGACCCTTCCAGTTAAGTCCTTGGAGTGCAGACCTAGGGCTCCCCTGCATATAAGTGGGTGCTACCGGAGCTACCTGGGGCTGTACAGAGGCTGGGACTTGACTCCTTGCACTGTCTACATGGCCTACATACCTTGGCTGGATTCTGGGAATAACTGATGGACCCTTGTTGGAATGGAAGTACCAGGATCTGTTGGGTTTGAGCAGGCAGTACCTAAATTCCTCTCTTGCTAAGTTTTACATCCCTGTCCTGTTTCTTGCATGGGAAGACAAAGCAGAAATGTGTCTTAGCTCCCGCTGCACCTGCAGACTAGGGCTCGTTAGGTCAACCCCAGAAGTATTCTTCCAGCCTGGTAGGGCAGACTGTTGGTGGCATCCCCAAGACCCCTCAGCTTCTCTTTGCTCTTCCAGAGGTAGTCTTGTGCTTGGATAGCGGGACTTTCCTCATGAAAGAGAATGGAGGAGGCCTTCCATGGTGGCTTGTCCCCTAGTGCCCTCTAGGTGCAGGTGACTTCTCAGGAAGGGCCTCAGGCCGGGCAGACACCACACTTTTCTTTCTCCAGCTGCCTCAAGGACTATGTCAACCATAGCTTGTCTGTCTTCCACACCAAAGACTTCAAGGACCATGGCAGGATGGAAGGCCAAGAAAATGTGACCGTGTGCAGGTTTGGAACCTCTCATCCCCCGTAAATGGCCTCCAAACTCCTGGTTCCTGACCTTAGGTACTTTGCTACCCCAGGTACCGGGACTACAGAAATGACTATGACTACAATTTCTCTGAGCAGTACTGGTTCATTTTGGCCATCCGACTGACCTTCGTCATCCTCTTTGAGGTGGGTAAATTGTGAGTGAGCTGGAAAAGAGGCAGTTCTCTTATTCCTCTTTCCTAGTCCCCAAATACTAAAGATTCTTCTTAGCCACTGACCTTGCTGGGCCATTCTCCCTGTCACCCACAGCACTTTGCCCTGTGCATCAAGCTCATTGCTGCATGGTTTGTTCCTGACGTACCCCAGGCAGTGAAGAATGATGTTCTGAAGGAGAAGTATGACAGAATCCGCGAGAGAATGTGGTAGGGACGCAGAGGTTCACCTGGCTGGGGCAGGTCTGTGCATGGGAACAGGCCTGACCTCTGACCCATACCAACCCTACCCTTTCTGTAGCTTCAGTTGCAGGAGCACGGATGTATAGATAACCTGGGGCAGGTGGAGAAATGCTACTTTCCAGGAGCCTGGACTAGGAAGAAGTCCCTACCTCTACAGCTTGCCTTTGTCCATAACAATGTGTATGCCTGTGTTGAGGGAGGCTGTAAAATGGTCCATGTCTATGTAGGATCCTGGATGCTCTACATATATGTTAGTGAATGAAGGTCATAGGAGGGCCTTGGCTATATGTAGCTGTATATAGGCATCCTAGGAAGCCTCATGTATATATGTTAATCACGGGAGACTTTTGTATATGTAGGGGTCATTGAAATTCCATGTATATTTAGGGAACAGCACAGATGTCCCTGTGAGATTTGCTTCAACTTTCCTTGGGTTCAGATTGATACAGGCCTGACTTTGAAACTCTTTTTTTTTTTTTTTTTTTGGTTTTCGAGACAGGGTTTCTCTGTGTAGTTCTGGCTGTCCTGGAACTCACTCTGTAGACCAGGCTAGCCTCGAACTCAGAAATCCGCCTGCCTCTGCCTCCCAAGTGCTGGGATTGAAGGCGTGCACCACCACCGGCCGGCTCCTGACTTGAAACTCTTGAGTGACCCTAGCACCTATAGAATTACAGGCTGCTCATAAAACCCCCACGCGGTAAAATTAGCCCAAGTTCCATGGACCTCCTGGCTTCTGGGCCTCAGACTCTGCTCTGTGGCCTCCTGCTTTGTGGGAGGCTCAGAGGCTAACTTCCGGGTCCCCTTCACCCCCTCCCCCCCAATTAACCTGGATCCCCACAGCCAGCAAAACTGTTGACAAACAAAATAAACCTGTATGTATTGATTTCTGAGCCTCATGATGTAGATCCAGTTTCTAGGGATTATTTCTGCTCTGGGCTAGATTGAGCTGGGATGGACTGTGGTAGCTTGGAGCTACATGGCCCTTCTCTGGTTTGCCTCATCGTCTAAGCGAGGGACACCTTGTGGAAGAAGGTTCTGCTTTCCAAATATCTGGGGTTTTGATTGGCAAGAGAAGGAACGGGGTCAGTTATGGGTAGGGTGTGGATCAAGTCGACTTCCTGGAGGAAAAGGAAGAGTTCGGGCTGGGGAAGCAAAACACCATGATGGTCGGCAAGGTGGCCCATTGCGGGTTGCGCTGGGTGGGCTGGTTTGACCGTTGCCCCAAGGCCGAGAGGTTTGAAGATCCCGGGACTGAACTCCCGACACTCACCAGCACTAGCCTCAGGCTTAAAGCGGGACACTAGGGTC